CCCCCCCCCCCCAAGCAAAACAACCCTTTTATATAAGAGGGTTTAGGACTTATATTAGGCAATGCTTTTAATTTAGAAATATAATATAATAGAGTAGGATTTAAAATAGACAATGTTTTAAAATAGAGAAGAGAATAAAAATAATAAGAATTCATAATTTAGGCAATGTTTATAATAGGAAGAAGTCAGAATAGGCAAAAACTAATAAAAATAGTAGAAATTCAGAATTGGCAAGTGCTAGGAAGGAAAGATGAGAAAATGAAAGAGGGAAAAGGAGGAAAGGAAAGGAAGGAGAAGCATGAGCAGCAGCCTTCCTCTTGAGGACCGGCTCCCATAGCCTGCATCTTGAATTCATATAACACATCACGTACAAATTTGTAGCTCAATCTTGCATTCGCGTGTGGCATGCATCCCTTGGCCTCACCCTAATGTCTTGGTTACTTGGCTTTGCATGTGCTTGTGGCACGTCACATTTTCCTTGCACCTGATTAAGGTGCTCTGACTCAATTCATCCTGCAGCTTTGGTGGGTCTCACTATCTTCTTCTGCTTTTTACTTGCTTCTTGTAGATTTTTGGTTTCCCACTTTGATGTTATGCTTGATTGCTTCCTTTGGTTCTGAATGGCGCACTACGAATGCCTTTATTGATTTAAATTTTAGTAGATAAAACGCTTCAAATTTTATTTGGGAGATGTGACAAGAATCCTGAAGAAAGTTATCATCATTATCCTTCATTTAAGATGCTTCAAGCAAGACGTTTTAATGAGTAATTTTTTTTTAATTATTTTTATGATCCAGAGGACTTTCATATTTTTCTATAGCGATATCTTTATCTTGTCTTAATGCTTTTTTTTTTTTTGGCAATTGTTGGTAAGTACTCATATCATTTTCTAGTTATGATTTATGCTTTAAAAAAATGCTAAGATTCTCAATTTGAGATAGATATGAGCCTTTGAACTTGAACAATGAAGAATATTTTACAGGCAATCCTGTCATAAATTTGTACATGTTAAAATATCTTTTTGAAGCATATCTAAACATTACATTTGGAGTGACATTAGAGTTCACGAAAATGATTTCCTCTCAATCCCCTTTGTGTTCTTTTTCTTTTATCAGGTTGACATTATTGGGGTTAGCTGCTACTCTTCTAAGGACTTATGGACATGGAAAAATGAGGGTGTCGTCCTTCCCGGAGATGAATCCAACGCCACCCATGATCTTCACCGCTCGAAGGTGCTCGAGAGGCCCAAAGTCATCTATAATGACAACACCGGCAACTACGTTATGTGGATGCACATTGATGACGCCAATTACACAAAAGCTTCTGTCGGTGTCGCCGTGAGCGATTCGCCATTAGGCCCTTTTAAGTATCTCCGCAGTAAACAACCTCATAATTGTGATAGTCGCGACATGACTATCTTCAAAGATGATGATAGGAAGGCATACCTCGTCTACTCGTCGGAGGAGAACAGCGAACTCCATGTCAGTCTGCTGACCGACGACTACCTGGACGTCACCGATCAGATGCAAAAGATTCTCATCGGTCAGCATAGGGAGGCTCCGGCCATATTCAAACATAAAGGAACATACTATATGATAACTTCAGGGTGCACGGGGTGGGCGCCGAACAGGGCAATGGCGCATGCGGCAGAGGCGATGATGGGGATGTGGGAGACGATTGGTAACCCTTGTGTCGGCGGGAACAAGATATTCGAACTGACCACTTTCTTTTCACAGAGCACTTTCATCGTTCCGATTTCGGGGCTGCCGGGGGTGTTCATTTTCATGGCGGATCGGTGGAATCCATCGGAGCTGAGAGATTCCAGGTATGTTTGGTTGCCTCTGACAGTAGGTGGAGTGGTTGATGAACCATTAGAATACAATTTTGGGTTTCCAGTTTGGTCTAAGGTCTCCATTTTCTGGCATAGGAGATGGAGACTTCCGAATTGGTGAACTGCTTAACATTGAGTGTACAATGTTTTGTAGATTTTTTTACATATTGTGTATAGTGTAATAAATGTTTTTGTAGATTTTAGTTCCATTTTCAATATTCAAAATGTTGATTTAGGACTTTCGGATAACTAAAGCATGTACTCAAACTCAACATATAATCATTAGGTGTATTGGTTCTTGACAACCAAGTTTATAGCCATTTTTTTTTTAGCTATGTGGTTTTATGTGATTAAGCTATATAAACATAATGGAATGTTTATTTTTTAAGTGCAAATTTTGGCTGATTTGGTTGCTTTAAGATAGAAAAGTGTTTGAGAAAATGAAGCTAGGTGAATTAAATCATTTAGTGGGATGCAATTAAAAGTTAACATGGATTCTAAATATGATTATATAATTATTTTCTTTTCACACAAAGAAAAAGAGTGAAATCAAAATAATTTCTCTCTGAAGTTTCCTATTTTCTTGCATTTTGAATTCCGTTATATTATTATTTTGAGAAATGTGATTATAAGAAACCCCTCACCATAAAAATGTATAGAAAACAGCACAAAAATCATTGACAAACAGAATTGCAACAGTGATCTGTAATGTGAAGTTATGAAATGTCAATATTTGTAATTAAATATATATTAAAAAAGATACAAAAAATGCATGTAGATGTGGATCTAGAAAATTTTCTTACTGCTGAACAAAAACGATGGTTTCTTATTATAATTATGTCAATAATAAAGATAGATATGCCCCCAAACAGCCCATGAGCAAAGAACAAATCCTGATTGTACAGCTTAACAAACCGAATCAACATCAGCCGTTCATCAAGTACTATAGCTCAATAAATATCTTCTTGTATTGCAAACGAAGAGATATATACATATACTCTTTACAGCTGCTGTCTACATAAATTTAAATTGGTGTTAGAGACTCAAACCTAAAGGCACTACTTCATCCCACACTCTCTCTCTTTTCTTTTCCCTCTACTGATCTTATATCAGTTATTCTCCATTCTCACCTACTCACATCAAACATGGATACTCCCACCAAGTTATGTGTGTAATTGTGTTTTGACATAAACTAGGGAACTAGGGAATCACCCATCAAAGACGTGTCCCTACACATCTAAACATAATGGTGTCGCCGAACTCAAACATCGTCACCTACTAGAAACCACACGCACAATATTTTCAACAGATCATCTTCTACTCTCTTTCTGGGTCCCGACAATCCTAACAACAACATATCTTATCAACTTCCTACCATACAAAACTATTAACAAGAAAACACCCTATCAGCTTGTCGGCCGTTTTATTGTTCAACTTCACTTTCGTAGTTTGGAAACGGTGATGATTTTGTGATTTTGAAAATAATATAAATATAATTTTTTTTAAAGAAGTAACGTTTTTTAATTTTTAAAATAAGTGAGACCAAACGAGTCTCACATTTTTAATAGTTTAGATGATTTAATACAATACTACAAGCAATACATTTATCCCGAAGAATAAATATATTACTTGTAATAGGGATTTAATCATCCAGACTAAACAATTTGTGACATCCGTTTTGATCTGCGAAATATTTTATAAAAAGGCCAACAAGTTCCCCTATCTAACATAAAAATTAGATAGGGTTTATTTTATCTGGGTTCCTGGTTCCCTATAGAGGCAAGCCCCTATAGTTAATTACATCTTAAATGATCGAAATCACTTAAGATAACTCTCGATTAAGATCAGGTGGTTTTGCTTTCAAGATTTCAAAGTTTAGGTTTTCACGATTGGACATGGGAAAATCAAATGGAAATGACTCAAAATAGGAACAATTATTTAAGGAATCCAAAGGGAAGAAAAGTAGGGGACATCACAGATCCAGGAGAAACCCCGGAGATGTCCCAACTATCCTGATGTTCGGCTTTATGTCTTTGAAGTGATGATTATTTGATATTTCAATCCTGCAAATTATTTAAGACTTAGGACTTATGTTTGCACAACGTCAGACTGTGCAAATAGCCTAAA